CTTCATTCGGCGAAGCGCCTGCATAGCCTGTCGTTTCAATAGATAGGCTTCACCAGGTTAATAGAATTTTGATTGATGATTGATTGATTGATTGATATCTTGTGAAGGTGGAAAAACGGATTGCCCCCGTGTCGCCGCCCGCAGGATTCACACTGTCTAGTTTGCTGAAGGCCGCCTGGGCGATGACTTTGGCCGAGACTTTTGCATCGCCCGACCCAGCCACCGCACAAGCCAATCCCGCAGTTGTCTTTGGGCAGGTTGTCCACGGCCGGGGGGTCGGCGTACCACACGAGGATCGCATCCTCGGACCATGCATCAGCATCGTTCCGGTGCGAGTTAACATTGACCACGCGGCTCCCCAGGTTGACCTTCTCCGCCAGATTCAGCAGCAAATGGTCGAGACCATGCCCTACACCACTCTCGGCTTTGACGACATCTGCGAGAACAGGACGACGTGGCCCAAGGGGACAAAACTGCCGAGTTTCCTCCGCATCCGCAACTATCAATTCACGCCGCCTTGCTGGCTTGAAGGCGTCCCTTGCGAGGCCACCCACTATGGCATTCCCAATAAGCCGTCCCCGTCGGCCAATGTGCATATTGTTCCCTCGGCGACGGGGATCCATGTTGACATTACGATCTCGAGCCATGTGCTGGGCCCAAAGCAGGTAGAATTTCTTGTGGACCGGTTTTGTAGGACGATCCAGTTGTTTGATGCTGGTGCGATCTGAGCTGAGGATTGACAGTGCGTGAGTCAAGGGTTATCCTTTACTTATTTCTCCTTTTCAGGAAAATTCCATAGACGTAGTTTCTCGATATAGCAGATAGAATATTGATTTCCAATTTCGGAAAACACACACAAAAAAAAAAAAAAAAAAAAAAAAAAAAAAAAAGAGAGAGAGTTGGATGTGATGTGTAGAAGTGTAAACAATTCTTCTAGCAAACCGGAAAGACGTGGAAGGTAGGTAACGGATTGGCTATCCTGCAGTCCTGCCTTTATTTGCTTGCCCGGGCTAACAAGGGGGCCTCAGCAAGGGGTATGTTCAATTTCTCTCGCGTAAAGAGGACTTTTATGTCCTTTATAAGACGTTTCGAACCACACCGGGATCACAATCACCGTCGAAGATGCAGTCATCCGCGCAACCCATCACCACCACAGAACGATCCAAGAGGAATCCGGCAAGTCCATACCATTCGAAACCCCAACTTACATGGACCAGCCCCAACGCGCCCCTTCACCCGCGGGCATGGCCCTTCCTCAAAAAATGGGCCGCCACGTCGATCGTGTCGGCGTTTAGTTTCCTCTCCTCGGTGTCCTCGTCGATGGTGGCCCCGATGCTTGGACAGGTCGGCCGCGAGCTCGGCATGACGACAGTGGTCGAGAGGCAACTGAGTATGTCGATCTTCGTGCTGGCATTTGCGGTAGGGCCGGTGGTGCTAGCGCCGCTGTCGGAAGTGCATGGGCGGTGGGCGCTGCTGCAGAGTAGTAATTTGTTCTTTTTGGTGTGGAATTTGGCGTGCGGGTTCGCGAGGACGAAGCCGCAGATGCTACCTAGTTTTTCGGTTCCTAAGTGGCATTGGTGGGAGTGCGGCGATGGCGATTGGGTTTGGGGCGTTGAGGTAGGCCGGGTTCTCTGGGTTGTGGGACTGGAGTGTCATTCTGAGCTAACCGAGGCAGTGATTGCTGGGAGCCCGAGCAGCGCGGAACGGCGATTGCGATTTACAGCCTGGCGCCACTCCTGGGCCCCGTCGTGGGGCCTATTTCGGGGGCTTGGATCGCCGAGAAGTCCACCTGGCGGTGGGTGTTCTGGTCGACCAGCGCGGTTGCCGCGTGCGTGCAAGTGCTGGGATTCTGTTTTCTGTGGGAGTCGTTCGCGCCGGTGATTTTGAAGAGATATGCTAAGGGACTCGGGTTGCCGTATGAGGGCCAGCAGGTCCAGTCGGTCCCTAGAATCCTGGGGGCCTCGCTCGTTCGACCGACACGACTGCTCACGACGCAGCCGGTCGTGCAGATGATCGCGCTATACATGGCGTACGTCTATGGGCTGTTCTATCTCTTTCTATCAACCTTCCCGGGCGTCTGGCAGGGCGTGTATGACGAGAGCATCGGCATCGCGGGCCTGAGCTACATCTCGCTGGGCGTGGGGTTTATCCTAGGCGCTCAGGTCGGCGGCCGCCTGACGGACGCCATATACGTGCGGCTACAAACGAGGAACGCCAGTGTCGGACGGCCGGAGTTCCGCATCCCCCTGATGCTCGGGGGCTCGGTGCTTGTCTCGACGGGGATCTTCTGGTACGGTTGGAGCGTAGAGACGCGGCGCCACTGGATCGTGCCGAATCTGGGGGTCGCCGTCTTCGGCGCCGGATGCATCGTATGTTTGCAGTGCATGCAGGCGTACATCGTAGACAGCTACACGCGGTTCGCGGCCAGTGCAATGGCAGCGGCGGTGGTGCTGCGTAGTCTGGCGGGGTTTGGTTTCCCGCTGTTTGCGCCGTACTTGTACGAGCGACTGGGGTATGGATGGGGGAATAGCGTTCTGGGGTTTGCGAGTGTTGGGTTAGGGATTCCGGCGCCGCTGGTGTTTTGGTTCTATGGCGAGAAGGTGAGAGGGTGGTCGAGGTATGCGGCTGGGCAGTAGTCTTGTCGTTCAAGAGAGACAGATATGCGTTCTATGAAGGCAAGACCCGACATGTATCCGTATTCTGCGGAAGTGCTCTGAAAATGCACTAAATGATCAATTGCCTCCCTGCGAGACGATGAAGTGCTATCTTCTACCTTCCAGGACTGGCACTCGTCCAGAAGAGTACCGTCTCATCAACAGGGAGTGACTGGTTTAAAATACCTTGTGGAGATGCCAGATCTGTCGGAGAACCACAAGTAATGAATTCCTCGTCCGAGATAGGATGATGGATGATGGATGATGGAAGTCGCAATATAATCAAAGTTCAACTTGTTATATAGACGACAATTATTTACAAATACAATATTGTTTTTTATAATTTCGAAGGACTGGTGAGAGAGATAAGGAATGAGTACTGTCATAACCAAACGTATAAAAATTCGGATGTAAAATAAATGGTTTGTCAGCTTCATAACTAACTATCAACTGACCGGTCAGAATAGGATATATTAGCGAATTCTATGCTAGTGCGGATACTTTGCGGATATCCGCAATGACGATATGCCGCAGCCTAGTCACAGCCATGGCTCGAACGCGAATTGACTCTGCGGATAAGACATGGAACGTTAAGCATTACCTCACATATCCAGTCTTACCTGGGAAATTTCAGGATCAATCGCTGCAAACGGCATGTTGCCACTATGTTAATACAAAGGTGATGAAATCAACGTATTAGGTATATCTGCGTACTCTAACACCCATCTATAAAGATGACCAGGGAGTACCTACCATAACTCCCTATTCTACAATTGACCATCATCATTGTCCTGTTTCTCTTGCATACACAATAAGCTTTACAAATATGGCCACCACAGCCGTACAGGTGCCCGCCCGCGACCCATGGTCATCCGTGGACTTCGAAGCCATCGATAAATGGCGCGTCAAAGCCATCGAAAAAGCCGCGGCCCGAACCGCACCATCGTCGTTGGATCCAAGTGTTCAGGAATTCCTCAATCTCCTCAACAAAAATCAGGACCTGGGGGCTCTGGCAAACAAAATGCTCAGTGAAGTTCCCCCCACTCCGACATACGATTTCGACCCAACCGGCAAGTTCTGCCGCATTACAGACTACAACCACATGGTGCAATGTCTTAACGATATTATCCACAAGGCGCCACCCTGGGACCATGATGCTTACAAGGTCGGGCTCATTGGCGTTCCATTCAACGCGCTTTTCAATTGGCCGCTGGCGACAGAGAGCGGATATAAGTTTTTCAAAGACGACAGGGTTAATACCTGCTTGAAGAAGATCCTAGATGCACATGGCGAATACCTCAAAAGGGAGGCCTCCAAGGAAGTTCTCCCGGGGTGGTTCGAGGAAGAGCCGCTGCAGATCATGACCGAGAAAGCATCCCCGTATTGGCCCGACGGCAAAGAGAAGTCCTTCGATAAAATCTACGACTGTGTCTCAACCGATAAAAAATACAAGGGCTTCAAAACCTGGGATGACTTCTTCACTCGTCAGTTCCGCGAGCCTGTTCGACCGGTCAATCACGAGGACAAGAACCACGATCCGCAGGAGCCGAGTAAGGCGGTTATCACGAATGCATGCGAGTCAGTTGTCTACCGATGCGAGGAGAACGTGCAGAGGAAAGATCGCTTCTGGTTAAAGGGTCAGCCTTACTCACTATCCGATATGCTGGACTTTGACGAGGACGTGGACAAATTTGTTGGTGGCACCGTCTACCAAGCTTGGCTGGCCGCTGAGTGTTATCATCGCTGGCACTCCCCAGTATCTGGCACCGTGGAGAAAGTCAAAATAGTGCCAGGAACGTACTTCTCGGGGCTGCGAGAGTACGGTTTCCCTGAAGTGTCTGGAAACCGCAATATTCCTGATCCCTCGGGCCCGAACCTGTCCCAACGATATATCACATCCGTAGCTACGCGGGCTCTTATCTTTATCAAGGCCGATAATCCCACTATCGGACTCATGTGTTTCATTGCCGTTGGAATGGATGAAATATCCAGTTGTGAGGTCTTAGTAAAAAAAGGCCAGAGAATCATGAAGGGAGACCAGCTGGGTACATTCCATCTAGGAGGGTCCACACATTGCTTGATATTCCGTCCAGAAGTCAAGCTGGATTTTAACAGGGATGCGCAACCGCCATACAGTGACGTCGAGTTTGGCCAACATACCATTATTCCAGTCAATGCGTGGCTGGCTTACGCGGGAAGGGCCTGAAGGAGCAGATGTGGCTCTAGCTTCTTTGCTGTGGTGTAGCCCTAACCGCAATTGTGTTTTTTATGGACAAAATAAGGTATTGGAGGCAAAAGCAGAAAGTGTGACTTGGAAGAGATTCCTAGTCAAGACAAGAACAAGCTAAAAACGGTCAATCGACTCTAAAAGTTTAATTTAGTTAGATCTAACCTGTTGCGAAATCTTTCGTTCATAAATATCAATGTCATGATAGAAATCTGAAGAGCAGTGGCAAGGATGCACCATGGATGCATTGAACATGGTCCACTTCATAGAATTCGTAATGTGTCATCGTGATGTAAGAGGTGAATTCCCCCACCTACTGAAGCATTCGACAGCTAACGAACCCGTTTACAAATATAAAGACCATCAGTGTTCAGTTAACTATTCAATGGCTAACAGGGTCTCAGCTGCCATCGATTAAAATTTTCAGCATATTATCTGACATCAACGTCAACAATTATGGTAGAAACTACCGAGAAGATTCCTCAAGTCTCATCCAAGCCCCTCACTTCACAAAGACAGAGAAGATTTCCCTTCTTCCTCCAATGCTGCTTCTTTGTTACATGTCTCGTCCTGGCCGGAGCCGGCCTCTTGTATCTTCCATCTCAATTAAGCTCCGTTGCCGCTAGACAAGCTGGGATCCAGGACCCTATTCAGGCGCAGGAATCCCCTCAGGGCAATTCCCGGCGGGTCCCACTCGATGTTCATATCGAAAGCATGTGTCCAGATGCGCGGGACTGTCTCCAGAAACTAGTCGTGCCGGCATACTGGCAAGTGCAAGACAAGGTTGCCTTAGGGATCTATCATGTTGGGGAGTATGACCACCTACTCGTATTCACGTCTATAGAATTAGCCTAGTGCTGATGCAACTTGCGCCATCCAGAGTATGGGAAGTCCCAAGAAGTGACGTGACGTGCCAACACGGATGGAACGAATGTGCCGGAAACAAGTTGCTCGTGTGTGCTGACGAGCTGTCCAATACAGACGGCGATGCCCTGGGTTTCGCCAGCTGTGTTCTATCCGACTATCAACGTGTTTCTGAGCCAGGGATGATCGAAGAATGTGCAAATGAACATGGTTTAAACCATGAATACATCAAGAAATGTGCCAACTCCAATGTTGGTCGAGAGCTGCTGATAGAAAGCGTTCATCACAGCGTCTCAGTAGGAGCTAACTTCAGCTGTACGATCCGGGTGAACGGGGAAGAATGGTGCAGGCGGGATGACTATAAATGGCTGTGTGGTGAGGATCACTATTCAGTGTCGTGTTTGGTCAAGAAAATTAAGGAATTGGCTGGAGAACGACACTACGAAAAAACTACTGATTAAATTTTTTGAAAAGTACAGCATGCTTATGAGGTGTATTATATCAGATCAGGAAAGATTGTCTTAGCTAGGTCCTTCAAGATGAACTGAAAAGTGGGCTATTCAAATTTATTAGATGTGTATGTACCTTCAATTATACATCTTGTAGTTTGTAGTATCTTGTACCAGTATGCTTCAGAGCTTGAATAGTCGCAGAATAACTCAAGGTCAATCGTACAGACACCGAGTGAAGCATACTAAAGGCGGTACAAGGCGCAGGTAAATATCAGGAAAACTGCTAGAATGCACGAGAATGTTCCCCAGAGAGTAAGGTTTTGGTTGCACCTATCCTGCGGGGGTTTATCAGTTAATTTTCGAAGATTCAATAACCGAAAGCGATGGACAGCTAGAAGCTAAGAAAACTTATTATTGGATTGAGAAAGCCGTTATGGTTAACCCATAGAGATAAATGTGTCTGCGGATCATGATTAAGGAGCAGCTCATCAAAATGCACCAGACCAACAGATCAAAATCATATGAAACAATGGACTAAATTAAATATTCAATGGCAGTAGGTGAAAGAGCCCATAACATCGCTTAGACGGGAACACGTCGCTCGACCCCCACTCTCCTGACTTGTTCCGAGCGACCAAGCAGCTCTCCAGACATTCCTTTCTCCCCTTCTCACAAGCTTCAACGCAGCATCCGAAGTTCCCACTGACCTTTATTGAAAGCGTAGTGCTCAACCTCTGCAAAACCCTGACGATCTCTCGTTTGTTGATTTCTTGCGGAAAGGCCATGTCAAAGACCACATATTCGATTCCATGACCCCGTGGGATAGCTTGAGATGCGACCCACCATTTTTCGACAAGTGGAGAGATGTTTGGGCTGTCGATGTCCCCCGTTTTCCTCTATGATTGTGAGTGAAGCATTCGCGATTGGGTTTAGGATGACCAGTCGGAGTCTCGGCATGTGCTTGGCGATTTGTTCGTGGGTCTCGGCGTTGCGGAAGACGGACATCAAGTGATTTGGATGGATGAAGACGAACGTGTATGGAGATGGATGTTTTTCGATGACATCAGGTGATATGGGTGAGGAAGTTGTTTCGTCGTTGGTAGGACGATACGTGCGGAGAGTCGGGACCCCCAAATCATTCGTCGTAACGAGGATTTCTTGGCTCATAGTGACAGGGAATGGATTTGAATAGTATTGTCTCGGAAGATGATGGAAACGATATTTGGTTTATAGGTTTCGCTAGGAGGAAGGAGATGGTGAGAGGCGTTGTGATACAGAAGAAGGTTGATAGTTATCATTCACAGCGGAAAATTTGAGAGTTTATATACAAGAGGAACATCAGATTGATTTCCAATCAGTCTGATTCAATGCGGAATAAATTCCGTATAGGAAGCTCTATTGTCTACCAGATCGAGCCTCGATTCACAACAAGAGGAAGTTGCTGATGTTGAGGTGATGGAAGGAGAGGAGTATGTCACAAAGGTCACATGGCCTGACTCAAACATAAAGCTACCCATAAGAACGAGGGAGCCCCACTGGATAGGAACCTTCCAAGTTACCCAGGGACTTCCGGCCTTGGGAATGAATAAGTAATTAAATTCTTGTCTATTGATTATGGTATTATCAAATCCCTGGGTCGGCTGCAGGCGTGCCCACCACCCCCGTTAACGCCCCTGATGGTGTTGGATACTTAGTGCGGTTAATAGGAATGGACAAGCTGTGGAAGACCAGGTGCTCTCTTACAATGCATCTCGAGCCAGTCGACTATAATTTAATGTTAGAATTATGCCTACGATTCCCGTATAACGCTGCTTACGGTAGCGGGAATTCTGACCAGCTAATGATCAGTTGTAATTGCACGATTTTTCTATAACTATGGATTACAGTACTAATATGATCTAGGCCAGTGCCATTTCACTCCTAACAGGCGCATCATTCAGCTGTAGACCAGCTAAAGGGCATAATTATAACTCATCTGAGATCCATAAGGCATGCATGTAAAGTTATATACTTTTTAATTCCTTCGAACTTTTTGATGATTCTTTTTGCGTCCGTAAGTCTCCAATCTTATGTGAACCTTGTATGAGCCGGCTAAATCTACACCTGTAGTATTGTCTAATTTGCGGTGGCCTGCACATGTCTAACTTCTCGCACTAGCCTTGTGAATTGCGAATTTGTAAATGTACGTTCGTAAACCTCATGCGAAATGATGTTTCCGGTATTGATGACACCTATAACAAGGGATTTGCGGGTAATACAGACTGAGGACTAAGTTAGATAGTAATATTCTACAAAGTTGGCTACAAGGTCACGCAAACCACCCTTCTCTAAAGGGTAATGCAAAGTAGGCTTTAATAAAAAGCATTGGTTTTACTTGTTATTAGGTAAATATTTCTTTTTCATTACTATATCCATATTATGTCTCTTCTGACGACGACCCGTATTAAAGATTAACCCCTTAACTTTTTAATATCACAATAATTCGTAAATATAACCGTAAAGCTTGGAGCTTTTGGTTCTTGACGGGTTTGTTGGCAACGTTCATGGGTACCCAAAAAAGCAATTGTGAGGTCTACATGCAATAATACCATACCAAACTACTCTAGAGCAAAAGGGAAATAGACATTGGCCAATGAGAAGCGCGCGTTACAACTGCGATGTAACCCTTTTTTTGCGTATGCAACGCGCACACTCCGCACTGAGACCAACAGGGGAATAGTGGTCGGGTAATCTCCGGATAGGTTGTCTTTCGGACTCATGTCGAGGGCTGAATCTAGGGGATTGCTGCAATACTCAAATAGGAAAAAAGATCTTGGATTTACCAGTATTCGCAGGGCTTTGTTGGTCCGCAGCAGTCCGTAGAGGCTCCTAGGTTGCTCCAACCGATAGAAACCCACCTCATTTGGCAAGCACGGCCGATAAAGCCAACGGCAGCCATCTACGCATGGATTATGATCGTCTTGAATATGGGGTGAAGGTACCAGAAGCTACATGTTGCGATGAAGTGACTTACATGATCTTCTGTCTCTCGTCTGTTTTTCAGTCCCAAGTCGGCCGTCCCGTGTCTATGTCCCTCACAAGAGCGAGGTCTTGTGAGGGCACCTTTCCAAGGGAATTCTTTTTCAATCCCAGTCCCGATTTAGAAAACTACTTGTGGTATTCTACTCATCAGTGTAGCTTTAGCGTGCGACGTTTTGCATCTATCGATCGCTTCAGGAAACTGGACTAGGATATATGAAGGCCTTGGAGTCAGTTAACCAATCCAGCTACGCTCATAGTATCACATACGCATTGACCCTATCTGGCAATTTATGGGGGCCCTGGATCAGCTCGGTATCGGTATCAGTATTATTCACTCGCCGTCCCAGTCTATCATAGTCGATGTGTATGGGCCCCGCCGCCTGTAAGCGATTAATAATACTTATTTACATCCCTGATGTCTGCTTAACTCAAGGGTTTGGCTCCACTTGGGCATTCGCTCAGGGTTCCCCAAGTCGTCTATATACCCACTAACCTCAGTTCTCTGTCTACTTTTGTTATGAAACGCACAGGGGAAGGAGGGTAGAATGACACTGTATCGGCTATACGCACTTAGCCTACTGAGGATCGAATGCTTTCTAAATGATAGGGCTCTTAATTCTCTTGCATAACCATTCTTTTCTA